ATTTGACTGACATGGAGCTGGATGAGTGTGAAGAAACCACCATGCATGATGTCAACATTGAGGATGAGATGAGACGTAAGCCAAGACAGCAGTATCGGGAGGCATATGATGAAGATGATGACGACGATGAGCCAATGCCACGGGTGCAATGTGCCCAGCAGTGAGGCAGTCTGTTTTTCGTCAGTCTTATCTTACAGGGCAACTATGGTTTTGCTTATGCTGCTGATTTTGTGGTTTAAGATGCTTTATAGGCTCCTAGTATTTTTTTTTTCCTCATGATATTTTTTACTTATTCAGTGTTCCTTATAATTAGAAACATTCTAAAGTTTGATTGAGTTGAGTTGTGTTGTTAGAATCGATTCAAGTTATAATTGGTTTTTTTTCCTCCTAGTGGTACCCAAAATGTTTTAACGAATGCTTGAGTTGATGTTATATTTCTATTACAGACAATATCATTAGCCTTAAGATTGACTAAGGTATGATCATTATATTAGCTACACCAATGCCTGGGTTGATGTTGTATTTATATTACATGCTTGTTACACAATAAATTTTAAATATATATATATATATATATATATATATATATATCAAAGCGACAATTCTATATATATATATATATCAAAGCGAAAATTCTATTTTAAAAAACATGGATTTGGTGCAGAAAGTGTTAGAGTGAGAGAGAGAGGGAAGAGACGAGGGGGTGTGGAGGTGGTCCCCAAGGACGTGAATGGCGATGACATGATGACATTGTCATCAGGCTCCGCCACTTTGATAAGTGCCAACAGCTCTTTGTTGTGTGAATCTAACTTCACCCCCACCACCACCACCGCCTTCTCCGGTCAACAACTTCATTTCACCACCGGCTGCCTTCAGTCTGACGTCGTTTCTTTCCCACAGAAATCAGTCACTCCAATGGCACTGGCGTTTGTTAGTTTGTCTATTCTATTGAGAATTGGAAACTGGAAATTGGAAATTGGGATATCAAATCCTGGTTGGTTGGTCAAGATGGAGATGGTCTCTGAGGATGAGGCAGGGGAGGAAGGTCTGTCGGGGGGGATGGGTCTGGGGTGGAGGGTGGCTTGCAATGGTGGCCATGGGAAATGAGGGAGAAGAAAATGGGTGGTTGCGCGCTGGGTTCTGGGTTCTGGGTTCTGGGTTCGTGGGGGTGTGTGGGTGGAATAAAAGAAAGGGAGGAGAGGGAAGGGACTGTGGGTTGTGGGTTTTTTTAGGTTTTTTTCTTTTTCTTTTTCTTTTTCGTTTTTGTTTTTGTTTTAAAAAAATTTAAAAATATATAATTTTTAATGATTTGACACACTATTGGATGATATATTGTTGACTTGGCAATAAAAATATAATTTTTAATGATTTGACACACTATTGGATGATATATTGTAGACATTAGTGGGGACTTGGCAATAAAAATTAGTTCATGTACTCAATTTTCCAATTTAAAAGTTGAGGGTACAAATTGAAAGTAGCGTACAGGAGGTAAATTGACAGTTAATCTTTTTCAAAATAATATAGCTGCGTGGTTATATGGCGGATTTTAAAAAAAACAAATCGTATGGCCGTGCGGCTATACTCTCGGCTATACTCGTGCTTCTTTTACTTTAAAAACTAGTATAGCCGCGCGGCTATACCACTAGGCGGGTTTTTTTTATAAACCGTAATATTATAGCCGCACGTCTGTACTTTGATTTTTTAATGTTTTTAAAAAATAATATAGCCGGGCGGCTATACGTGGATTTTTAATTTGTTTTTAAAAAATTGTATAGCCGCGCGGCTATACTCTCTGGTATTTTTTCTAAATAGTATAGCCGCGCGGCCTTACTCGGGTAATTTTATAAAAAATAGTATAGCCGCCCGGAGATACTCGGGTTTTTTTTTTCTCCTAGTATTATTATTTTTCCTCTTGGTTTTTTTTACTTATTCTGTGTTCCTTACAGTTACAAACATTCTGAAGTTTGATTGAGTTGAGTTGTTAGAATCGATTCAAGTTATATTGCTTTTGGTTCTTTTCCTCCTAGTGGTACCCAAAATGTTTCAACGAATGCTTGAGTTGATGTTATATTTCTATTACAGACAATATCATTATCCTTCAGATTGACTAAGGTATGATCATTATATTAGCTACACGAATGCCTTGGTTGATATTGTATTTATATTACAGATAAAAATAGGAATCAAACACAAAATCTTGGCTGCTGAGGTTACATGCTTGTTACACAATATATTTTTTTTTTTTTAAAACTGTATATATATATATATATATATATATCTAAGCGAAAATTCTATTTTTAAAAACATGGATTTGGGGCAGAAAGTATCAATATTGGGTCTAAGACAATCGGGCAGGAAATATGAAATAAGAACCATGTCGTGTTTAGCACAATAAAAAAACACAATGAATAATACTACAAACATTAAGGCCTTGTTTGTTAGACAAGATTAGGATTGGACCCAAAAATATTAGGCCTTAATTAACAAGACACACCTTGAACTCGATATGAGAAAACCTCAACGTGTATTAACTATATCTTCTGCTCTTCAATCAATATCGCCTGTATAATATAGGCTTATTTACAACAATGCCTCCAAAACTGCTAAAATATGATAATACAACTTCTATATTTTGTGTTAATTCTTCTTTCCAGTCCTAATTGTACGAATATTGGTTACACGCTAACTAGGAGTGTTTTTGTTTTTTTATTTTATTTTTGGGTACTACACTAATACTAATTATTTTTTAAACTATTCCACCTTTGGCCCAACTCAAATTTATGGATAAATAACAATATTGCGTAAATAAAGTTTTATTTAAAGAAACACATCAAGTTGGATTTGGGAACTTATGAACCAAGAAAATCCTACTATATATGGGTTTCTATTTTTCTTCTTTAAAAAAAAAAAAAAAAAAAAAAAGCTGTCACTTGTCAGTCGGATTTGGAGGCTTGTAAACCAAGAAATCCTAGTCCTAGTCCTAAACCTAGTCCTAGTCCTAGTCCTAGTCCTAAACCTAGTCCTAGTCCTAGTACTAATCCTAATCCTAATCCAAATCCAAATCCAAATCCTATTTCTAATCGTATTTGCTTTAGATTCTGAAGTCTCTCCCCTATATATGCACAGGTCTCTTTAGAATAAAAACCCAGTCTTATTTCTCTTGTTTTCGCTTTGTTTTGCTTCCATATTCGTGGCTTCCAACAAAGAAATTAGAACACTAATCGAGTCACTGATAATGCCTTCCATATCCCCCCTTGAGTTTTTCCTCGTCACCAAACCAAAATCCGATTTGTACGAAAATATGGATGATGATTATTATTATGAGGAGGAGGAGGAGGAGGATGATGATGGTGGCGTTTCCTCACTCCTTGACCAATTTGATCAACTTTTCATGAAAACAAAGCCGTCAAATAATTCATGTACAACCCTTCATCAAGATCAAGATGATGATGATGATTATGAGTCCTATTTTACAGAGCCATTGTCCCCACCAAGATCTGCATCATACTTTGAGTGCAACATGTGCATGAAAATGGCAAGAGAGCCAGTTGTGACTACTTGTGGGCATTTGTATTGCAGGCCTTGTTTCTACAGTTACAGCTCTCAAAAGGAGGAGTGTCTTGTCTGCAAGAGTAAAGTGTCTAATTCCTTGATCACTCCTATTTACAACTGCAGAGACCTCAACTCTGGCTTCAACGTGCCACCAAGACCAAGTTCAAGAGCCCAGAAAGCCATCTCACGTATCAAGCAATGGCAAAATAAAGATTTTTCTGTCGAAGATGGTCATCAAATAGTGGGGCAATTGATATACCATTTGCAAGCCTTGGCTGAAGAGCGTCTCATTCCTCGATCTGTTTATCATTCTGGTCTTGTCTCAGCTCAAGAATTCAAACAAGCTGCAGATCAGTGGGAGACAATGCGTACCTCTTTTGAACATCTAGAGAAAAGCAGATCTCAGTGTGCTGCTCACAACTTAGAATTGCAAGGTCTGAGAAACCAAGCTCAAGAGGTAGAGGCTCAGATTGCCAAACTGCAAGCAGACCTCAAAACTATCAGAAATAAGGAAAAAGAGGTGCATCTTCAACTTCAAACCAATCTCAAAGAATTCTGGGAGCTACAAAAACAGATCACCACCACTGCTCAATCCGGATCAACACTCC